ATTTGCCTTATGTACCTTCGGTAGACCGTAAAAAAGAGCCATGACGGTGTCAGTGGGTTTCATGGAGAACCAGTCGTTGGGTGAAATCGTCCACTTGGTCCTGAGATTTCTTAGGCTTTTGTTTATCCGAGTGATTTGACTTTTCATTTCTTTTACACGGCATTGTTTGTATGAATGCTGGTATCGAGTAAGACCTGTACCTTGTTCTGGTAATCCAGCACAACTGCTGAACGTCCTTTGTCAATTGGCAGAATAATTATGTCCTTGTTTGCTTTTAGACTTTCCAATGCTCGCTGTTCCAGATTACTAAGAGATTCGCACCTCTTGTGTCGCAAAAGCAACGTGGAGGTTTGGTGACGGATCAAATCTTTCGTCTCTTCTGAGAAGTTTGTTAACTAAAGAACGGATTTGAAGGCGGCAATAAACTCTGTGGGTGCGGCATCGGCTGTGCTAAAAGTGGCACCAAGTTCCAAGTCTTCGAGTTGTGTGTTCTTTAGGGTTTAAGATGAAAAGTTGTGGACTTGGACGCCTGATGAGTTGTCGGGGTTTGGTACTTGAAGTTTTTTCAATTTTATAGATAATTCCTTGTCTCTTTTGACACGACTTTCCGAGCATGCCTGAAAATGGACAGCTCTATATCCTTCGATGTTTCCCCGACAACTCTCGAGAGATAACACCTAGATTGATCCATCTCTATATTTTAGCGTTCTAGTCTCTGACTGCAATCGTGAATTAGCACTCTTGTTGTTCTCGTGCGATGGCGGGCTACAGTCTCTTCTGCCAGAGCGGACTTCACGGGAGGGTTGTAAGTGACGCTTTTTGGGGCCATGTGGCTGTCAAGGCAGCGGTGCAGGAAGTGCAGTTGCGCTGGATTTGACACAAACTGCATAGATAATTTTTTCCCGACGGTGCGCTGCACGGAGCAATGGTGGCTCAATTATGTCAGCGAGACCGGGCGGAAATCGTAAATTCGCTTACAAGAGCACAAATCGGCTACTCAGAGGATCGATCCTAACTCTCAACTAGCAACACACGTTGGAGAAACAGGGCATAAATTTGACCTCCAGAAGACTACCATCTTAGACCTAGGCACTACAAAAGCAAAACAGCTAACTCTCGAGGCGTGCTTCTCCGATGCCCACTATATCAACAGGCATCTGCACCTTCCTGCAGCTTACAAAGTCCTACGTCATCCCAATCGTAGAGCTCAGGACCAAATAGCCACAGCGGACTTAAGAAGGCCTGACGCTGAGTTTTCTCAGTGATGAAGAACAAGAACAGCCAGACAGACCATCCGACAAGCGTTCAATCAGCTCCCCTCGACGGAGTGGTGACTCACAAAGCACACAGACCAAACACCCGTCAACCATCTCCCGAGAGGCCGAGGCAGCGAGAGGAGAGAGAAATCGATCAAAATGAGGCCGATAAACACAACATGTCACTTTAAGTAGCATTTCTGATGGCTAAAGTGCATTTAACGCTTTGACAATGAAGATCTGACCAGCTGTTTGAAATGTCGGCAATTAAATGAACCTGTTTCTGAGAGCCTGTCATCTGCTGCAAATTATCAACACGGATCTCTCAACTTTGCCAATCTGAATAGAATATACTATAAAGGAAATTCATCAAGCCACTTGCCTTGTACAACTTTACACCGGATAGTTTCATCAAATGCCACAATCATGCATGTGTCATCCTTATCATTCATGTCAAAGAACTTCCGGTGAAATATCACGAGCTACAGGAAAAAAAATAACGTAATTGTAATTTGGATGCAGCTTCTCGTCAAATTGTTCGACTGGTACAATAGGACGTGATTTTGCTACTTACCCTTGGCATGCCTGGCAGAAGTGTCGTAAATATAAATGTTCCGCGTTCCTGAGTGAAAACCGGGCGCACACTCTCAAAGTAGCGGGCTCAAGTATGTTTCTTACACTCATTTTGCCTGTGCAAACAGAACACTTAACTTCGGATGCTTGTGTGCTACCTTTATTTTGCAATCGGGCTATTTATCGTGCAGAAAACTGCAAAATTCCAGCTGAGAGTCTGTCAATGAGTTAATTAACTGGAAAGTGTGGATAAAACCTTATCATCATTTCAATGCTAGCTAAGACAGCAGCCAGTTTATAACTGTTTTCACTAAACGTTTATGGGCATTTAACGAGCTCGAGGAAGGCACTTCGAAAAGGAAGGTTATTATTAATTTTCGCTCACAGCGTTCGTTTCATGGATTATTCTAGTAAAAATCCACTCTCTTCGCTATATCCAAAAATAAGAATAATGGCTTAATTTCAAAGTCTATATATGAGTTAATGCTACAGTAGGCAATCGCCAAATAAAAAACGATGAGAGGTTTAATAAATCCATCCTACGATTGCATCTTTTTGCTTACCATGAATGTGGAGATCCTCATGTGTTTCATTTACTTTGACCCTGAGAGTTTCAAAGAAAGAGACCTCGGGCAAATTAATGTCTACGTGACACTGTTCCACAGCTGAAACAAAAAACACCATGCAATATGACGCATTCTCTAAAGACCTAAAACGCTGGCGGATGTTTTATCAAAATACTCAGTAATACGCAGGCAGATTACTCAGGTGCTACACTACATGGGGCTGTAATTTACCAATCACAGCATGCACAGAATGTCACATAGACTTACATCATTCAACGGGACAGGGAAATGAAAATACTATGGATGAATTCAGCTTGCATGTGATGTTGACGGCTCTGAATACGTCCTCATCGATGATGAAGGTCACTTCCTACGCAAAGAAATGAGAGATTTTCGGTTAAATAACTCGCAGACAGCGTTTAGGTAATATGGGAAAGAAAAAGGCTGATATGTCATATGTAGAAATTGAAACGGGGCTTAGCGAAGTCTCGATGGAAATTGACACACGTAACGAGTATGGGCCAGAAGACTGTAAAATTTCGTACCTTCCGAATGACATCTGAGCAGAATTTTCGGCTAAGTCGTGAAAAGAGAGGTTGGAATTTGTAGCAGTCGTGAAAGATGGCACTTTTCAATGTGCGATTTTCCAGCCTCCTCAAGTTTTTATTTCTGCTATTTCAGGCAGCCACACATGTCAAGCCAACGTTCACCTAGCACTGTGGTTTGAGCGACTGAGTCCCATTGGAACGAGCGTTAAGTATTTATTACATTGAAAAGCAGTTTTTAAGAAACTCACCGATCGCCAGTACTGAAGTTAACAGCAACAGCATTGCAAGGTGGAGCATGTTAAGTGCGTAGATTTGCGGAGATTACAACCACTGTTCGTTCATAAACCTCTATTTATTTTGGATGTCCATAAGTGAACTTAACTGACCTCTGTGAGATGTCTTAGGCTTGTCACGGGTCGTTTCCTGCGATGGACTCTGCTGGGGGTAGCCAATGACATGCCTTAGACTGACGCTAGCCATTAAAACGGGTTCTTTTAAGTGAACAACAGAAAAGATCACTTTTGTGCGACATGTCAGAAGTACGTAAGGCGGTAATACTGGGGATTTTGATGAACACCTGCTCTATTACGTATCACGTTTTGCACACAACATTTAAATTTCTAAGCTTTAATATGCCAATACCGAATCAAACGACCATGGGATAGGATATTAAAAGAACGCATTGATTTTTGGGCGAACTGATTCGCATATTACCAGTTGTAAGTGTAAATGTCGGCCTCTTAGTAAATAGTTATTTCAGTACCAGCAACTGTCAGTTGGTGAAACAGTCCTTCTTCAAGACTACTTCCTGGGACTCATCTCTTCGCTTCTATTAGTCCTGCTACTGTTCGAGTCTGACGATTTCTTGTGTGCTTTATTTTTGTCCATTGACCTTCCTTGTCTGCATTATGGCCAAGTACATTTTTAGAAACCTTAAGACCAACTGTTTACTTATACGCGGGGGGAGTATGTGTTAGGAAGGCATGCTTATCACCCATAATAATGTTGTTTATTCAGAAGCAGACACTACGCCAGATGCCAGCTCAACTAGTAAGCGCCGAAACGAGTACTCTCTACTCACGCCTGCACGTCGTCTCTGCCCTGGTTTCCATTTAGGTTAATTTTCTCCGTATTCGATTCAGTTGGGAAAACACTTCCGATGTAGAGAAATATCTTTCCGCTATGTATAAGCCGGCAGTTCGGTAGGACTTTCTGAAAACCACAATGCTCAAGGCATAGTACAAGACGACTTATACTGAGTCCACAAGGACTAGAGTGAAGTACGGATGGTAGCTGCTTAAGAGAAGAAACTGTTGTACATGTACTGGATACATCGCCTTTTCAATTTTGGACGAAAATGAATCATTAAAAATCTGCTCAAACATCGGCTTTATCGGGTGTATCCTAGAAATACGTACGATAACAGCCATTGCACACACCCAGTTTTTGAAAGTCGTTTAATACTATGGGCGATTGTGATCAAGGATATATCTAGTCATTTAAAAGACAAAAATCTTTTATCCACAGAATAACCTGGCAGTATAGACAACATTCAGTAAGTGAGCTAATTCAAGAAATGTTAACCGAAATTCCGGAATACGTTTTTGTTTCGAAATATGGTTGTAAGACAAATCATGGAGCAGCAGGATTCTATTCATTTGCCGCAGAATGCCTGCTTTCCAAAGAACGTCTTTGGGGCCGTACACAAAGTCTATACTCTGTAAAAAATGACTACATATTTGGCATGAATTCTTATCACCGATTTTAGATGTGTCTACTTATGAAATTATATTGCATAGAGGGGTGTAGGGGTTTCAGCGGTGGGTTCACGTGAAGGTCGTAGTGGTCGCTCACTTGCTTGCAGGTGATACTACGCCTAGCGTCCACTTGCTGGCACTCAACTCTCACCTGTGGCTCCACGTAGCTGGGCTCTGCTCAGCGGCCACACCCCGGGCAACCGTCTCGACCGGCGGGCTAAACCAGGTGAGGGCGGTTACTCCCTGTGCGCGTTGTGCCGCGTGCACAGGTGACTGCGGACTCCGTGGACGGTTGGTCGGATGGAACACCGCGTCGGCGCCGTCGTGACGAGGCTCTGTCTGACACACCGCTGGTCAGCCGGTTGGTGGTGGAACGTCGCATCGGCATCGTCTAGACGAGGCTCCGCCTGGTACGCCGTTGATCAGCCGGTGGGATGGATCTCTGAATTGGCACCGTCGACACGCGCCCATCTGGTGCACCGTAGGAGACCGCAGGCTTGCGAATATGCCGTAAGCCATTGGCAAATTCGAGTCGTTCTTCCACTGCCAAAAATCTCGTGGCCCACAGTGGAGTTCGGCCGCGCCGGTACATCAAGCAGCCCCTATTCAGGTGTCAGGGCACTGCTTCCTTCGGGGGGCCTGGAAAAGCTGGCCTAAAAATTGCTGGGGAACCACGTCGTCTGCTGGCGCACCGTGGTCGCAGACGCAAAACTCACAGTCGAAACAATCAAACTCGAAACACCAACGACAACAACCATACTCATTCTCTTCATACTGCCTCTTCTACCTCTACCTCCGTCTATTCTTCTGCCTATTCTTCTCCTTCGTCATCGTCTTCTCCACCTCCTTCCCATCGCCCCACTCGCTTTCCCCAGACTGACAGGGTGAGCCCGCTCACTCTGGCAGCCTGGAATGTTCGTTCCCTTTTAGACGATCCGAGGAGCAACCGACCGGAACGGAGGACGGCGCTAGTGGCACGAGAAATGGCGCGCTACAAGGTGGACATTGCCGCACTCAGCGAGACCCGATTCTCCGAACAAGGCCAACTGGAGGAGGTGGGTGCCGGTTATACCTTCTTCTGGAGTGGCCAACCCAGGGCAGAGCGACGAGACGCGGGCGTCGCCTTCGCCATCCGGACCGACATCGTGGGACGACTACCCTGTTTGCCGCAGGGCATCAACGATCGCCTGATGAGCCTCCGCCTGACTCTCTGGGGAGGAAAATTCGCCACCATCATCAGCGCCTACGCTCCGACGATGACCAATCCCGACGCCGTCAGAGACAAATTCTACGGGGACCTGCACGCCCTCTTGGCGACTGTGTCGAAGGCGGACAAGTTGATTGTCCTTGGTGACTTCAACGCCCGCGTCGGCACAGACCATACTGCCTGGAGGGGAGTGCTGGGTCCCCACGGTCTCCGCGGCTCCAACGACAACGGCCTGCTTCTCCTTCGCACCTGCGCAGAACGCCGCCTCACCCTGACGAATACCTTCTTCTGGCTGCCGTAGCGAGAAAAGGCCACCTGGAGGCATCCTTGGTCGCGTCAGTGGCACCTGCTGGACTATGTCCTCGTCCGGAGGCGAGATCAGCGGAACGTGCTGGTGACAAAGGCGATCTCGCTCGTTGGCGGGTGGACCAACGATCGCCTCATCATCTCGAAGATGTGTATTCGCCTACAGCCTCGCAGGAGACCACAAGGTAAGCGACCCCCAGGTAAGCTGAATGTTGCTTTGTTGTCTTTGTCTGCTCACCGTCTCCATTTCAGCAATGAGCTAGCTCAACGGCAAGACAACCTTCCTATCGCTGCCGCCGATGACGCCGCCGCTGCCGAAAACGCCTCCGTGGAGAACCGCTGGTGTCAACTGCAAGACACGGTCCAGTCGACGCGCTCGCCGTCCTCGGTCGCGCTCCCCGCCAACACCAGGACTGGTTCGACGACAACGACGTCGCCATCAGAAATCTGCTTGCTGAGAAGAACCGACTGCACAAAGCCTACGCAGATCACCCCACTGATGCCAGCAGGGCTGCCTTCTACCGCAGTCGCCGCCAAGTTCAGCAACGATCGCGCGTGATGCAGGACGCCTGAACTGCTCGCAAAACTGAGGAGATCCAGGGCTACGCGGACCGCAACGAATGGAAGAACTTCTTTTCCGCGATCAAAACTGTCTACGGTCCGCCGACGCAGGGCACTGCTCCTCTCCTCAGCGCCGACGGCAGCACTCTCCTGACTGAGAAGACGCAAATCCTGCAGCGATGGGCCGAGCACTTCCGAGGCGTCCTCAACCGCGCTTCCGTCATCTCCGAAGCCGCCATCGCCCGCTTGCCGCAAGTGGAGACCAACGCGGACCTCGACCTCCCGCCATCTCTCCAGGAAACGATCAGGGCCGTGCAGCAGCTCTCCAGCGGGAAAGCATCCGGATCGGACGCAATCCCTGCTGAGGTCTACAAGCACGGAGGTCCCCTACTGATGGATCACCTGACTGCGCTCTTCCAGGACATGTGGCGTCAAGGTGAAGTCCCGCAAGATTTCAAGGACGCAAATATCGTGCACCTATACAAGCGCAAAGGGAATCGCCAAGTCTGCGACAACCACCGCGGCATCTCCCTACTGAACATCGCCGGGAAGATCTTCGCTCGCATCCTGCTCAACCGCCTCAACAACCATCTGGAACAGGGTCTTCTGCCGGAAAGCCAATGCGGCTTCTGTCGTCATCGTGGGACCACGGATATGATCTTCGCAGCCCGCCAACTTCAGGAGAAGTGCCAGGAGATGCGGACCCACCTGTACTCTACCTTCGTAGACCTGACGAAGCCTTCGACACGGTGAATCGTAAGGGACTGTGGAAGATTATGCAGAAATTCGGCTGTCCGGAGCGATTCACTCAGATGGTGCGTCAGCTGCACGACGGTATGATGGCGCGAGTCACGGACAACGGAGCTGTCTCAGAGGCATTCACAGTGACCAGCGGAGTGAAGCAGGGCTGTGTGCTGGCGCCTACCTTCTTCAGTCTCATGTTCTCTGCCATGCTGATGGACGCCTACCGCGACGAACGCCCTGGAATCCGCATCGCCTATAGAACGGACGGTCATCTCCTGAATCGCCGGCGCATGAACTTCCAATCTCGTGTATCCACAGCCACCGTGCACGAACTCCTCTTCGCCGACGACTGCGCCCTGAACACCACCTCAGAAGTGGAGATGCAACGGAGCATGGACCTATTCTCCGCCGCCTGCGAGAACTTTGGGCTGGTTATCAACACGCAGAAGACGGTGGTGATGCATCAGCCGCCTCCCAGCTCAGCCACAGCCCCCAACGCGCCGGAAATCAACGTGAATGGGACTCAACTGCAAGTGGTAGAGAACTTCCCGTACCTGGTCAGCACGCTCTCCCGCAACATCAAGATCGACGACGAAGTCGCCAACAGGATCTCGAATGCCAGTCAAGCCTTCGGTCGCCTCCAAAGCACAGTTTGGAATCGTCATGGTCTCCAACTGAGCACAAAGCTGAAGATGTACAAGGCCGTCATCCTGCCGACGCTACTGTACGGAGCGGAGACCTGGACGGTGTACACGAGGCAGGCACGTCGACTAAACCACTTCCACCTCAGATGTCTCCGCCGCATCCTGAGGCTGAACTGGCAGGACCGCATCCCCGACACCGAAGTGCTGGAACGGACGGGAATTTTGAGCATCTACTCCATGTTGAGACAAATGCAGCGGCGCTGGAGCGGCCACCTGGTGCGCATGGACGACGAGCGGCTACCCAAACGACTCTTCTACGGAGACGTCGCGACGGATTCTCGTCGTCAAGGAGGCCCAATTCGTCGATACAAGGATACCTCTGAAGTCGTCCCTGAAGCTACTGCAAATCAACCCGACCAACTGGGAAGAGCTCGCCTGCGATCGTCCGGCATGGAGGAGAACAGTGAAGACGGGCGCTGCTATCCACGAAGCCATCCGCATCGCCGCCGCCAAAGCGAAACGCGAAGCCCGCAAATCACAACTGCATCCAGTCAGCAACGCTGTCGCACAACTGCTTCCAACGTGTCCTCGATGTAAGCGGACATTCCGGGCTCGAATCGGCCTTGTTGGACATCTTCGAACCAACTGCACCTCTCGAACTGCTCCAGCCATCGTCCCCGCGCCCGCTTCTTCCTCGTCCTCTCTTCCGCCAACCAACTCTGACACTCCTTCTGCACCACCACTTCCATCCTCCTCCTTCTCCTCCACTGCCCGAGCGGTGGCCGTTCAGGCTGCCGTCTCACACATCGCCAACCACGACACAGCAACCGCAACCACCCCCACCTGCCCTCACTGCGATCGCACCTTCACTTCACGCATCGGTCTGGTCGATCACTTGCGAATCCATCGCACAGAGTCTGGCGAACCAGTGCCTGGAGCACCAACCTACACTCACCGCACTCGCCTCCACTGCCCACACTGCCCTCGCACCTTCACGCATCGTATGGGTCTATTCGGCCACATGCGCATCCACGAGAGCGGCATTGACCGCAATTCCGATACAGCCACGACATCTAACACGCCCAGACCCATCCTCGCCCCACCGTCACACGCGCCGACCACCACCACCGCCACCACCAACACCACCGCTTCCTCTACAGCCGACACCGACACCGCCGACCTCTCATGCCCACATTGTCCACGCACCTTCACCTCACGCATCGGCCCGGTCGGTCACTTGCGAATCCATCGCACAGAGACTGGCGAACCAGTGCCTGGAGCACCAACCTACACCCACCGCACTCGCCTCCACTGCCCACACTGCCCTCGCACCTTCACGCATCGCATGGGTCTATTCGGCCACATGCGCATCCACAACGACCTACGGTAGACAACCGCCGGTCACACCACACATTCCCTCACTCCCTACCTCCTAACAGCATCACCCCATCAGACATCAACCCCACACACCTCATGCACTCAACTGCCGCCTCCCACGCAAGTGGGAAGTGTGCATCTCGACTCGGTCCACATGCGGCCTCGGCTGCACGAGTGACTTGAGTCCGAGACCATCCCGACACGTCAAGTGTCGTGGATAGGAAGGTTGCTGATTGACGCCCGTTCTCGGTTCACGCAGTTCGTCACGTTGAGTGTGTGTGTGTGTGTGTGTTGTGTAGTGGCGGACTGGTGACTGGGGACGGGCTAAAGCAGCACCTTCCACGGCCCTCAACCCCCGTTGTGTGAAATCCTGGTGTTTGTGTGTATGGGGGGCCCGGTCGTGCTGTGGCGCGCGCAGGCATGGTCAGTCGACCATGTCAGCCACCGCGCCCATTCCCCACTCCAGTCTACTGACCGGCTCGGACAGTGGCTGGGGTGTGGGAGAGTGAGGTCGACGACTCAGCGCATTTTCCTCACTATAAACAATCTGACGCGCTTGAAGCCATCACGGTGCGCTAAATGCCGTGGCTTGGAAGGTTGCCAACTGACGGGGTACCTTGGACCTCCTCCATTACTGGAGGCGGTCTGAGAGTCAGACTGCAATGGCTCCTTTTTAATGTGGCCTTTATGGCATTCCCACCACAGTGTGGGATCCGAGCCAGGTGTTGGCGGCACGCCCAGGTGCGGCTTCGGCCGTGCCAGCCTCCAAATCTATGTTGTGTTGGTTCAAATCCTGGTTATTGTTGTGTGGACCAGGGGGTGTGGTGGAACGCCAAGGTGAGGATCCGTCCGAGCCATCCACCTGCCGCCTCCCTCGTCTCCGGTCTTCATGACTCTGTCTTGACACCGGGCCCAGGCGGGGGAGGAGGAGAGAGTGTAGGTAGATGCTACGCAAGTCTACTGGCACTATAAACCCATGCGTAAGTCACCGTCCCTGCTCCCACCTGGTGTGGGGCACACGGTCGAACTGTCATTTTCAGCTTTACATCTACTAGAGTTTGGAGTTCTATGGTGATGACCAGTTTCTGCGCTCCGGACCCTCACCACGGCTGAAGAGTTGAATGTGCCGTAAGTGAACTTTCATTGACTTGGGCAAAATTGAAACCGTGCAAGTTAAACATGGCGAAACAAGCAGAATTATACAACGACGTAGATTTCCGACCAGTCCAACAGCTCTAAACCGTCATTGTTTATCTCTGCAACTATCGGTTCAACGCAATAGCTCGGAGCAGGGTTTTATTCGCCTAAAGTTTCACATTAATCCTCAAACCCACTATCAGTGACATCATCAAATACTAGTGACTGATGCATGCGGAGTTTTAGTGGTTATGGAGCGCAGTCACTGTGGAGCAAAATTAACGGCTCTCCCCTTCACCGCAGTGTTTTGCCCTCAGTACAAAAATTGTTCGATGGCTAACAATCACCTCGATTTCATCAAACATGCTGGGCGCTTATGTATTAATTAGTCGGTCATTCGGGTCCCTGCTACTAAGGTTAGAAAGGGCTTTTGACTGCCCGCTTCCTGAATACCCAAGTATTCTACTCAGGGTGAGTCTCCGCCCTAAATATGAAAGGAGCAGGTCAATGCACTCGTTAACGGACTACTTAC